GATAGTTTAAGGAGGCCGCTAGACGGGTGACATCGAAAGTCACGATCTTTTGTATGTTGTAGAGCTCCGTTATGTACCTCCACTCTTCTATATCGTGCTTCTGATGTTCATTTATATCGCCATGGTTAAGTTCTGGAACACCGTGGACCAGCACTACTTTCTTCGTCGCATCATGTCGTGACGCGACTGGGTCGGATTTCCATTTTTGCCTTTCTATCCATGGTTTATCTGGGAAAATGCGGACGCTGAGAGAGGAATTTGTTAGCTTGTGGCCTGTCAGGAGCACATCCTCCAGGTCGCGTTTGTTAGCAAATGTTACTCGTAATAACCGAGGTTGTCCTAAATGCGGCGAGGATGGATTTCGGGAAATGCGCGTAAGACTAGTTGCAGGAACGTTAATTTCGAGAGCACAGCATATCTCTGCCCAGCGGTTTTGTTCTTCCACTTGCCTACCTTTTAGTGACTCGCTCGTGGGCTCTGGTACATTTGAACACATAATTGTCAGAGCGTTTTTGTTGTACACTAACTGCTTATCCTGAGAGTTGTTACTGGTGGACATTTGTCTAGGTTGACTACTCATCTTGTCCCTTGTGCAGGGAGAGCCTGCGCTGCTACATGGCTGCATACGCGGAACGCCGTTTGTTGTGCTGTTTGTGGGGGTCAAATGTTGCTGTCCAACCCGTGACAGGGTTGAGCGTGCAGTTTGTGCATAGCTGTTTAAGCCTTGAGACACTTAACAAAACTCGGGAGGTCGTTCGACAGGCCTATCTTCGCTGGCGTCCATCAACAATGGTGTGCTATTTTTACCGTACTGTGTGGCTTCTTTACTAAATGGCTCTCGCCTTTTGACAGGTCTGGGATTCGGGCTACTTAATACACTAATCTGCGACTCAAGTTCAGTGGGTTTTTTTACCAAGCTAGTAGTCAATTCCTTTAGTTCTGTGACCGTTAGGGCTAAACTTTCACATTTCGCCATAAGCACTTGAATGACCCTAGCCAACGGTTTAGTTGAACATGCGTCACACACACACAAGCCGTCGATCGACATACAGTGTTTTGTAACCCCATCGAAGGAATTGGAACAAAGCGAGCATGTGGTGACCGACGTGTCTGGACCACTATTGACCTTGGATTTCTTGTTCATTGGCGTAGCTTTGAGACTGCGTCGGCCCGTCATGTGCACGCGAGGAACAGTGGACATTGGAATATCACAAAGGCTTTGCGTGGCAAAACGCGCTAAGGGAGTTACAGCGGTAATTGCGTGATCACAAAATAGCCTCTATTTGTGGTATCTAGAGGTGCACTACAATAAGTAAGGTGTTGTCTAGTAGCCTTAAAAAAGCTCCGTCGAATGGTATCCCAATGTAGTGGGAAAAATAAAAAACAACGCAGTTTCACAAGCAGGTCTTACCGAATGATCTGTCAAAGACGGTGTTCAGGATTTGCCAGTGTGTCGTTAGTAGTACTGCAGAAAGACTGAATCCGTTGGATAGGTCTCGACAATCCGAGACGATTGAGTGTAATTCCGAAGATGTGGCACAAAATGGAAGGCGAATAGAGAGAAATAACACAAATTATCCAGGAGCGCGCGTCACGCGGTCACGTTGTCGACGATCGCATTTCTGTGCTTTGATTTTCCCTTGATGTATTTGAGTAGTTATTCTGTTAAGTTACTTGCGTGCAATAAACGTGGCGGATAGAGATTAGGAGGCGTTTCCATTTTTTACGGCAGAGGTGTGAGGTCTTGTGACCACGGCTATTTCCTTAAACAAGTTCAGCTCAGTCTGTACATCTGAGATTCCTCAATGCACTCACCTCAGTCTGCATCGTTAAAGTGGTGATTGCCGTTGCCAATTACAGAATGGTCAACCTATCTGAATCACACTTGGGGATATGCAAGATCTAGGCAGCCTAGGTTAAGCCTACAGGGATTACTCATCTGTTGCTGAGACATGATGTCTGTAAATCGGTTGTGCTGAAATTCACATTGCAACTGTATCCTGTCTTCAATCACACTCACGCTACTAAGTTTCGTAATAGACCTCAAAGTATATTGGTTTTTAAAATGCGCACTTGCCAGACTTTGGCTGCGAAAGCTGATCAGAGTAGGACGGGGAAAGGCTAAAAATTTTCCTCAGGTTTCTACAAAGACCATCAGTCTCAGTCAAGTTGCACGCTCACAAATCTGTATACTTAGTGTTATCGATCAAATGCTTGACAGCTATGTTGCGCGTGATGGCGTGCTTTTCTAACCTGCTTTTGGGATAACCTCGGACGTAACTGCATTCACGAGATTCCTCGCCACAATTTTGTGTTTTTGCTCCGAATTCGCCCTAGTCTGAATTAAGTATTTACAAGATACGGGGATCCTTACCAAAGAATTACACGTCGCGTTTCGCCTTTTGTTTGCCTAACTGTATCCCATCAGCTTTCTTTTGCCAGGCAGTGGAGAAAACGTGTTAACCATACTATCCAAATTCTCAGTCACTGGTCTTTAATACTCATTTATCTGTTTTTGTACCCCAGAGGGCATATCATGTTCGGAACAGGGCACAAGTTCATTGACACCCATTGTGGCCCCAAAGGTAGTGCTTTCTATGGCTACCTAGTTCACGACATCTTTTGCCACTTTGCTCCAGTGTTTACGGCAGTCATTTGTTTGATCATATTGTTTCTTTGAATTAACCGGTTATTCGTAAAAGAAAAGGAAATTAATACTATGTGGTTCTCGAGTTTACCAATATTGTTAACAGCGTCAGAGTAGCTACAAGGCTGGTTGGTCGGTTAACGAATTTGAAGTGCCGCGTCAATCCAACGTCCGACCTCAAGGTCCGGGAAGACTGGTCATAGGGCACGGTCACGCGTTCAAAGGCGAATCACTGGTTGAAACCATGAATTTGAACACAGCATATCGATAAAGTCGCTGCTATGGGGTGGGGTGGACAGACTCGAAGTGAATGTTAGGTTGCTCCCAAGCGGATTGAAAAATTGCGTCTGTGGCCATGTGGGTAGGACAGATTGAGGGCAATTTGGAGTGTTCAAAGATGGGTCTTCCCGTGGATAATAAAAAGTACCAGTTGTCCTCACAGGTGATGAATTTGAGCCTGTACTTTTCAGCACCGAAAGCACCGGAAGTCCTAATCATCAAGGGATGATGGTCAGCCACGGGTAGATCCAAGGCTCTAACAGCGTTGAAGTCTTCGCTTGACCCAAAAGAAGGAGCATAGCGTTTAATTGCACAGTGAAAATTGTGCCACTAATTGATGTCGCTTTGGAGAGTAAAAGTAGTCCAACCGCATCATTTTAGTCACTTTAATTGCCCCAATACATGGTCGTACCTTAATGTTTGAACTACTCCAAATGACAAAACGAGATGGATTTATGATCCGTTTAAGGCTCCCTCTTTCTCTGTTCTTTATGTTACATCTGGCTATCCAAGCATGTGGCTGGATTCATCATCATGTCAGCGGCTTTGGTTATAACTTTGAACATGTATGCAGGTACTGTAGTGATGTCGTATTCTTTTGCAATAGTCGGCGAACTATACCTTTCGTCCTTTGTGTTCTATTATGTCACTTTAGTATGCTCACTCAAAAGTTTTTGCCTCCTGTTAGTGGACAAGTCTGACATGTGCGGCAAACGCATATTCAGTGAGCTGCCGCAATCTGTCTTGTTTCAATGGTCAGTGTTGAATGCCATATGGTAAAGTTCACCTATAACTAATAGGATTGAATACGCTTGTCTGGGTTAAACAATCATGCTGGCAAATTGTCCGAATGATATCGGCTGATAGTGGTGGGCTATTTTTCCATTATTATTATTAATAGTAATGGTATTATTATTTTCGATTATTATCGAATTAGATTTTGCGCTATGGAGGAAAGCTGCTGCTTTATGGATGAAGGCGATTACATTGGGGATGCAAGCATTTGTGCGGTATTATGTTTGTTATTGGGATGGATACCGTTTTGTTAGAATTTGACACGTTTCATGAATCTGCACTGCTTTATAAGTCCACAAAATGAGTGTGTTATGAAGGCTCGAGAGGCTGGGATTACTCAACACAGTCACCTCATTTGCCGTTTCAGTGAATATTGCTTTGAGGAATCACCAAGTCATTTGTATACTCATGGACTTCTGTGAACTTGCGCCTGCTGAAAAGTTTTCCGCTTTTATTAACCTTTACGTTTAGTTCCATCGTTTCGTTATAAAACTATTAAAAGTATTTTCCATAAAGGCTTAGTCCGCAGTCTGTTTAACAGCCGTCCAATCTCTTTTCTCACCAATAAAATCTCCTAATTACCGGATAAATTAAGTAGAGTCAAGAGAGTGCTTTACTTTGACTTAGAACACCGAGGTCCAGCGGCAGCACTGCAAACACTTTTAGGAGTTGGGACAGAACGCTTCACATGGTTTAACTATGGTAGACATTGCAGTCACTATCCGCAGAAAACAGTCACCACCATTCTATCTCCCATTCGAACTGTGCATACTGTTTTAGAGTGAGTAAATCTTCGTGGAACCTACTGCAACCAGTGCTTCAAAATATTGGTTACATAAAAGTCAAAATGTATTTGCATATCCGGCCAGTTGGTTTTGGACCAACCACCATAGTAAAAGTGTTTCGACGTCTTCAATTTGGTTAATCAATGAGCAAGTGAAGAATCGCTCTGCACGATTTGAAGCCTATCTTTGATCGTCAAGTCACCTGTTTTAATAGATCTTTTTTGCCAGAGACAATGGAGTCCCATTATTAGCACGCGTAATAGATGGATTGGTCCAACTCACTCTTAATTTTGGTGCTTCGTAAAATAATACTAATCACACGTTTACTGTTCAGATAACTGGAGTACGTCTCACTCATAACACACGTTTTCTTCCCACGCTTCATCTCCATTTTGTTCTCCTGTCGTTGATTAGGAAGATAAGTCTTATTAATCCTGAAACTTTCCCACCCACCGTTTTTACTAGTTCACTCTGTCTTGTTCCTCTCAAAACAGCCGCTCAGTGCGTGCACTTGGGACAACAAGCTTATGAGTCCAATAACTTTTTACGCGCGGAGGAATGGTTTCGTGTGGCTTATAAGCGATTATGGGAAGAATTAGTGGGAGCAGAACAAACCGGTGAAGAAGGAATCACTGTCAATACCACAGACCCCCAGGAGTACACTTTAAGCATACCGGATGAAGCTCAGCCATCTGCCACCTATATCCTGGACTATCTAGCCTACGCACTTGGACGAGTAAGCCTTTCGTATTTACAATACTGCTTACGGGCGTTAATGGGTCACATGTTCAAATGTGAGTGCATACAGTGTTTGACTATCAAACGAGTTGTTATATCATGTCAGTTCCTTGAAAGCAAGCATTTATTTTTAGTTTACTACAGGTTTGTAGCCGATAGAACCAATTAAATCAACTTTGGAATGAATGCTTCTACCCGGCTTTTGGCTAGGAGTGATAGATCCCGTCACTGAAACGCCACTGTCATTTAAAGTCCGTCTCTTAATTTTCCCTGGCAGTTACTATAAGTCGATCTGTTATGATTATGATCGGAGGATAGCAACTAAATGCATACTATTTTACTTCCATCATGTAGTACGACAATATGCCTATGGAATATCGTAAGGGAATTCCACCAGGCGTGGTTCGGGGCTGGATTTCGCCAATCATCTTATTCCTACTTAGCTGCACATTTCGGTACCCCAGGCCGTCTCTCATTAGCCTGAGCTATTCAAGTTCAGCGTGGGAGCACATGATTCTCTACCGAAGTAGGTCCGTAGGTTAGCACTACATTTATGCGCTCGGAAAAGGTTCATTGATCTGTTAGGATTGTCTCAGCTCAGTTGGGGTTGTGTTCTATGGCCCATGGAGTCGGATACAAGCTGCACTTGTGGCCTGCTTGGTAGCAACTGCCGGATCGCACTTATTACTTGGCTTAGCATCCCGACCCCTACACTGGGTCTACACATTTTGCCTCACATAAATTAGTGGGAGCCCGACTAGGTACTAATAGGAACAACTGATCTTTAGCCTTGACTTTTAATCACCGGGTGTGGGATTGATAGCATTAGTAAGGAATCCATGGGCGACGTTCCTGAACAATGCCTTTTGCGGTCGCTTGTGTCATATTTATCCGCTGAAGCACCACCCATAACACAGACTGATCGTCGTCGCGCCTCTTAAATTCGAAAGTGCTCTCGGCTCAAGCGATTAATTCATCCCGCTGGGAGAGGCACTCATAAGTGGTACGGTGACGCACATGGTGGGGTAGGGTGCACTGAGGAGGAGGACGTTATCAACTACTGCTCTGTTTTGGTTTCTCGTGCTTCACGAATTGTGGTTCCGTCGAAAGAAAGCCGACTGTTATAGTCTGCCTAAGCCAGGTAGGTTGTAACAAACCGCACGACTAGCATGGTTTGTTGCTGTCCCCATCCCTGCTTTACCTTTTACAAGACCACTAACTTAAGTGGCGCAATCACAATTACGTGATCAGCTTTTAGCGTTCGCTTGGTCTTATCTCTTTTTAAGACGTGTTCAGTCTGACACCTCAGGCTCGCATTCCCGGGCAAACTCGACCTTGCGACGCCGATTCTTAAGCCTAGCGGCTTAGTTATTGTTTTCTCTGTTTGACCTGCTGCTTTGGTGAATCAGTCTTGCCCACACATCTGTACATTTGCTTAAAGTTGAAGGAACAATATAGCCGTCTAGAGTGTCGACGGAATTACTTTTCCCTTCGGGTTTGTAAACCTTGGAACGCACTCCCAGACTCAGTTGTATCCTCTCCTACCTTGGATGTTTTCAAAAAACGATTAGATGTTGCTCTTAGCTCCCAACATTTTGTTACCTAAACTCCCCTACTGTGGATTACGCCAAGGATGCATCACAACAGGAGTTATGTATCAAACGGATCTAAGTGAGCGACCATATTTTACTTTGCTCACTCTTTACCTCAACGATCACTGCACCCCAGTGTCTTTCTGAACGTTTACGCTCGATAACTTATTTTAATTTTACACTGATGTTACTTATCAAACTATTCATCTCGGCAGACGTTCGGTAGATGACCCAGACATATTTTGATTTCATCATATTCACCTCAACCATCCTGCGGGACGTGTCAAGCACTTGCTTTTATCCCGTGATAAATCATTGTTCATTGTTCATTGTTCAACTTGTTCTCACGTCCGACATTGATGATTGGCACACACGCGCGCCTCGTAGCCTGGTCGGTTCTTCTACATACCATTTCGCCTTATGGACCATACTTGATGTCACTCATGTAAGTTCCTTGTAAGGCGTGACGCCTTGGCTTGACTTAGCGGCAAGTTTTACTTCGATCGCATACTCGTGTAGGACGCTACTAATGAGTTGGAAAACAGGTAGGTGTGAGAAAATTAATGAAATCATGGATCACTGCGGCCGAAGCACACCTAATGCACAAATTAGCGCTTACCGATAAGTTGTGTATGGAGGAGCGCAGCAGAACGGTACCACGAGGAAAGTGCTCAGATGGATCCGATTTTCCATGTTTGAACTAGTATTATACCTAGGCGTGGGTACTTCAATTCATCACTCATCCTTGCCGCGTTGCGTCTCAACGTTTGGTGCTGAGGTCACCCGGAGGTGGAACATGAAGATCATTCGGTCAGAGGCATTTCAGGATGGGGCTACGTATGTTTCTAAAGTACTCCGAAGACGTCGTGGAGGCAGTCGGAGTGAAGCTGGGGCGCCAAGTTGGTTACTGTGCTGACTATCCTCGAATGCACGGTGAAGGCGGTTCTGAAAGCGGCGTGAATGAACCCTGTCTAGTTGGAATGGCCGCCGAGGAGGCGGCCCTAATCAAGGTTTCTACTGGACCTGATGCGGCGATTCAAGGCGCTTAAGCTTGGGGTGGAAGCGGACCGCCTCGTATTCACTGTCCACTTAACAGACTTGCCAGACCGGGTGCCGTCTACTTTGAACGAAGTGTCATGAGAACAACTGTTAGTGAAGCCGTTTCTTGAAGGCTTACGGCTGATCGGCTCCGGAACTGGGAACGCCCCCAGTGAACGAGCGTGGCGAAGCTTGCCCGTGTGGAAAGAAAATTTGAACAAGAGGGAGTCGTTAGATTGAAAAAGAAAAGTTAAGAAAGAGGGCGATTGGACCGGCTAGAGGAGAAGCTGGAAAGGATTAAGCAAGAAGGCTTGGCACTTCGAATTTCCCGTTAGAAGACACGGCTGAAGGGATGCTGCTTCCTTTGTTAAAAGCTGAGACACTGGGAGGGTAAATGAAAACCAAGGAGCAATGTAGACTTTGTACCAAAGAAAAGCTATGTCTTATTGTTTTTGCTATGAGGAGCATAATTAGGGCGATGAACCAAAGGTCGATTGTGACGATGGTAGATGTTGGTGGAAAAACGGAGAGGTATTGATCGATACAGAAGCCGCGGCTTCGCTAAACAATCACAGGGATGGATTCAAAACTCAGACATGTGCCATGGTGTTGAAGACGTGTTGTGGTTACAATATACGCATAGATTGTTTGGCGGAACATGTGATCGTTATCAGCTGCTAGAACGCAATCATCACTTCGTCCTGTTACCGGACATAACAGACTACCCTAGAGGGTAAACATCCATCAAATCGGAGATTATCGTTGACCTGAAAAAAGAAAAGCTGAGGAAGAAATCCGGGGCTGTATCCCTTGCTTTTAGAGGAGTATTAAAGTGTTCGTTCCACACCTGAATTGACGGTTGATTCTCAATCGAAACTTCAGGTCACTAGATCCCCTACAGGACAGAGAGAAGACCGCACCTGACGAGAAAAAGAACAGGGATATATTAGCCGACCACACCGTTATAACAGGAACATCGAAGTTCGTGAATTGTATTTAAAGCTCACGTGGAAATATCTGACAGGGTCAACTTACTGCCAATCGAAGAATGCCACCCTCGTTTTAATTGGCCGCTTCACCATGTTGGTAAGCTGTTCGCCACAATCAGTGCGAACGAGGTTGGCTCACTTGCCATGCTTTGGCTCCGTAAAGGCGATGGGATCCTCGGTTGTTCGCTTAGCGTATTTCTTCCTAACACTTCCGCCTTCGAGTTGTGTTGTACGATTGCAGCTTTGTTTTGAGCTGCATGGGTGGCAAGAATTTGCGTCGCCGCTTCGGCCTCTATGTTGTCCATTTTTCGGGGCGAATCCGGTGTTTAAAATGTTGGGGCGTGTTGGGGTTGCCGCTTCAGCTACGTGGGCCCATATTTCCAGAGTTAATTGAGCTGCTGGTACTTGTTGTTGCCATTGTCCGCCAGTCCCTGCCTCTAGCAGCTGAATAGCTTGTCTCACCTAATTTGCTGTCCCCACCTGGATATCGTAGATTATGTTATCGTGTCAGTATAGCACAAGACCCATAGCCCATTTGGAATAGTGGATGAGGTAATATCTTTCCAGAACTTGTTGGCCAACATGGAAGGCTCGCTTTCGAGCACCGTGTTGAACTTTGAATTGACGTTTCAGCTGAAAGTTGCGGGACAGTAATTGTTCAGGGATTTTTCTTTGAAACAGAGTTTCCGTCGAGGATAGTGCGTTCGGTGTCTGCGAATTTGGAGCTATGCGAAAAGTCATGAGAAATGTGTCAAGAATCTCCGCTAAGGTACCTTCGCCCTTCATTTTTAGCAAGGCTTTTTGAGTGTGTCCACAAAGCGTTTTGCTTGTCCATTTGATTGTGGGTGTAAAGGTGGAGACCTTACGTAGACGCGCGCGTTTCTGTGACAGAAGTCAACAAACGCAGAGGGAGGTAACATTGTCCGAAACCGACGTATGGGGAACACTGAAACAAGAGCATACCTGTCGAAGAGCAGTGACAGTGGCTCCTGTGATAGTTTTCACCATTGGAATCCCCCAGGCCACTTAGTGTGGGCATCGACAACGATGAAAAAATGATGACCGTCAATTCGACCCACAAAGGCGACGTGTACCATGGACCATGGTTCCGTTGGTATTGGTAATAATTGTAATACCGTCTTCCTTGGCTGTTTAGAGACACTGGCACATCAGGGATGATGCTTCGTTAAATACTCGATCTGCGATTCCATATAGGTCCAATACACATAGCTTCGTACCAGCGATTTCATGCGATTCTTTCCTGGGTGGTCAAAATGAAATTGTTAGCAGACTCTCTCTTGAAGGATGAGAGGAATGAGGAGGCGATCAGCGAACAGTAGACAATTGTTGACAACTGATAGTGCTTCCTTCCGTTGGTGGAACTGTTGAAGCTTCGGCGTTATAACACTGTTAGACCAGCCATTGAGGTGGAAAATG